ACGTTCCCATTTCATTAAAGACGTTCTTCATTCATTTCAGAGCACGACACTCATTTGAAACAANTTTTTATGATCTTTTATTTAATAATTACTTCTTCATATTATTCATTTTGCTCGATACTTCTTATTGACCGAATGAAATTTACAACAATAATTTTTCTTAAATATCTTCAATTTCAGGACGTAACGGTCTATGAAATGCACCGTATTCTATTCTATCCTGTACTCTCTTCTGTTCTCAACAACATCTTATTCTTTGTTGTTTAAAATTTTGTTTCTATGTCTATTTTTCCTTATCATCTCTATGCATATGTAGATAATTACAGATGTTCGATTAATGGCTTTTTGTTCCTTGTTTTTGCTCATTGCATATTTTCCTCTCCACTTTTGTTTGCGTTTTATTTGCTTCAGCATATTGTCCGTCCTCATCTCTGTGTATAATCGTTGATGAATACAAAGGGTGCATTCGAATTAACATTCGATTTGTTTTAGATTCGAGGGGTACTCCACTTCCCGTGCGTTGTTATAAGCAACAGGATGACAGTTACTGGGTCGAATTCACTCCTGAACACATTGGTTTGTTGTTGTTTCACTTAATTCCCATCAATTTATTTCCACCGTTTATAGTCGCACTGTTTCACCCTATCGAAGTTCCCTACTTTTCTACTTTTGTCAATGTCAAAACCTGCATGACCTTTCTGTCTTCGTATGGCTCATGTTCGAAATCCTCACATTAAGAACGGTATATGTCCAGAANCATCAAATCGATGTATCATTTGCTGATATTCCAATATCTGGAAGTCCATTCAAGTGTGAGGTGGTTGATCCGAAGAGTGTGTTGATGAAGGGTATATCAGAACCGCTCATCGTCCGACAACCAGCGAATATTATCGGTTACTATTCATCATTGTCATATTTCGTTTATGCCCTCTTCCGTTCTTTAGATTCATGTGATTGTTGTTGTTTCAATTTAACTTTGCTCACTGCTTAAGTGGATCGTGAGAATGCCGGCAATGGACAGCTGATGGTGGAGGTAACCGATCCAACAGGTCAAAACATACCATTAGACGTAATAAAGACATCGACTGATGAAGATAATTTCTCCTTCATACCTGATAAGATTGGTCCACATAAAATCAATGCTACCTTATCTGGATTCCAAATTCAAGGTATTGACTTGATGAATTTCTTTTGTTCAATGAATTCAGTTGATTTGTCGAATTGCCTTTCATAAAATAAAGGATGTTTTTTTTTCAAAGTGCGATTGAACACATTGATTGATGCGAATCTTCGGAACGATTGTGTTTTCGTGAATGCTTATCGTGAATGTTATATAGCAATTATGTTTGCGTAGAATGATGATTAATAAACGAATTGAAGATATGCCACAAACAATTCTGGTGGAAGAGCAGGCAAGGCCAATGATTTACGGTGGTGCTCTGGAGAAAACAATTCAAGTGGATCAGCCAACATCAGTTATTTTTGACGCTAAAAAAGCAAAAGGATCACCAAAAGTTGAAGTGAAAGGTATTACTTATCAAACTTCAGTGTGTACTCGTTATTTTTATTGTTTTTTGTTGTTCAAACGAATGCATCTTCTGGGATTTTGCAACTTTGAGG